CGCTCAATTAGTTCTCGCGAGAGTTCACTGCTTAAAAAGACCCTGGCACCTTCTCTCTCTCTCTTGCTTCCTCTCGCCATGTGATTTGCTTGTACCCGCCAGCAGTCTGCCACTTTTTTGCCATGAGTAGAAACAGCCTGAGGCCCATGCCAGATGCAACTGTCCCAGAATCGTAAGCCAAATAAACCTCTTTTCTTTATAAATTACCCAGTCTCAGGTAGTCCTGTTATAGCAACACAAAACGGACTAAAACAGTTACTTAGCATTTGCTGCCTGTACACCCCACTAGAATGTAGAATAGGGCTAAGAGCAGGGGCCTTGTATGCCTGGGTCACTACTGTAGCCCCAGTGCCTCTAACAATGCCTGGCTCTCAATGGGTAACTGAGTAATTTATCAAGTAATTTAGCTCCATGTCCTAGGATCTGGTGTTCCAAGTTGAGGGCTCAGAGATTATCTCTAGTCAGTGCCTAGGGTGATCAGGTTCCCGAAGATGAATTCAGACAAGCTAAAATGTACTGGAAACACAGTGGACAGCAGAATACCAATTTATTATTTTACATTGAAAAACTTGTCTGTCAAAAGAACTGAATGTATATTCAAATTCCATTCAATTCACTGTCTTCTCCCCATACAGTCAAGTCACCTGACAAGCCAAATCTAATGGGCAGAGTTAAAACAAAATGAATTTGGATGATAATCACCAAAATCTCTTTGCTGATATACCTGTTCCAATGGGACCAGTGCAATTAGCTGTAGGCTGAAATTCCTTTTTTGGGCAAAATACATAAAGCCCAAAAGCCAAAACTTTCTTCTCATTGGCAGTGCTGGATGCACATTTAACTAAGGCCTTGGCTGTCAGTCCAACATATTTCAAAATTGTTGTCTACACCTTTGCTTTGACATGTTAATAAAGCCCAATGCTGCACTCAGCACTTGAATTCAAAAAACTCGAGTAGTCCATTTGCCAATTATTAAATTAGTCATCTATGTATAATCTCCTCAATTAGATGAGTGCTTGATCCAGTTTTTCGCAATCCAACTAGGTCAAAGCAAATACCCCAAGCCAGTGTGACATTATTTATTAAATTAGTCATCTATGTATAATCTCCTCAATTAGATGAGTGCTTGATCCAGTTTTTCACAATCCAACTAGGTCAAAGCAAATACCCCAAGCCAGTGTGACATTAAGAAGTCCAAGCACTTGGAAACCAGCAGCGGGTCAGATTCTGACCAGCCAGGTGGCAGACCTCACTGCCTGTTCCCCAAAGGCTAGGGACACAGTTAAAGCCCTAAGGGGGTCTGGGAGCTCAGAGTATTTTTCCAAGCCACCGAACTGGCATGGAAGTAAAAGCTTACCACCAATAAAAGGGCCATAGACTGCTTACCAGGTCTTGGCTCCCAGGGATTGATAACAGCTTAAACCAAAGACAGTATGGATAATCCAGACATGTATAATTCATTGTTGACTACATTACCTCTTTTAAATTTATAATGATGATAACAATTTGTGGAAAGTTTCTGAGGAATAAATAATTGATCACATACTCCATATCACAAGGCAACCTACTAATGGAGACCATGAGTGGGGATGTATTAAAATAATAAATTTTTCCATTCATCATTTATCTTACCTGTTGTGCATGTACACCCACACAAAAGTCATCTGTTTTGACATTGGACAATAATTATAGGGTTATGGAAGGGCCAAGGACCCTGGAGCCTTTGATTATGAAACATTTATTGAGCTCCTACTATGTGCTAGACACTGAGGTAGATGCTAAAAATAGAAAAATTAGGACTCAGTTCTAGCTCTTGAGGATCACATAAGCTAGTGGTTTGACAATATATTTTACTTTCTTCCTATGTATAACTGTATTCAGAGCCACATGATAGAAATTCATAAAGACTGACCTAGGCAAATTTACCAAGATATAGTATTAATATATCTTAATTTGACTAGCTGTATCAGGAACCTGGAGTGAGCTTTACATCTCGAGAATGGCTTCAGCTTTAGTTTTGTAATATAAAATCACTTGCAGGGAAATTCTTACAAAATACCCAGTAAATTTTACTTAGTGAACTGAAAAACAAGTATGAACCAGTAGCAAAAATAATAAAAATCCAAGAAATTTATAGAAGAAATTCATTACGAATCTACAACAAAAAATATACCTTTCAAATCACTGAAATACAATTTGAATATCTTCATACCACTTTGCCTTAAATATTCAAATATCACCTTTTGCATAATACCCACCCTCCCAATTTTTACATTACTTATAAATAAAGACTTCCTTTAAGTATTTTTAAAATTTTACTGGACACCATTGTTATGGACTGAATGTTTGTGTCCCCCTAAAATTCATATGTTGAAAGCTTAACCCCCAATGTGATGGTGGTATTAGGAGATGAGGCCTTTGTGAAGTGATTAGGTTATAAGGACAGAGCTCTCATGAGTTGAATTAGTGCCCTTATAAGAAAGACACAAGAGCTGCTTCTGCTCTCTATTCTGCTGTGTGAGGATACAAGAAGATAGCCATCTATAAACCAAAAAGCACTGCCTCACCAGACATAGCATCTACCAGCACTTTAATCTTGGATTTCCCAGTCTCTAGAATTATGAGAAATACATTTCTGTTGTTTAAACCACCCAGTCTATGTTAATTTGTCATAGCAGCCCAAACTAAGACCATGATTTCATTTTAATGAAGTTTGGCAACAATGTAGCAATTTTGATATCTCATCAAGCATCCTAATTTTGGTTATGTTTGGGTAGACATGCTTAGATTCATAATATATATAAATCCATATAATTAGTGTTTCATATTGGAGTCTTAAATTTCTAAACTTCCTTGCTGTTGCTTTATCATAACATATAGTTATTACCAGTTATAAAAAAAGTAAACACCAAAATACCCAAATTAAATTTTTTGCCAAAATTAGATTTTACTAAGTTTTCCCTTTCTACAATAGAAATCATCTTTTCATTTGCAAAATTGTACACTCCAAAAATATATGTAAATGAAAAAGAGTGCTGTCTGGTTCAAGCAAGAATAATCATTACATAAAATGTGTTTCAGATGTTGGAAAAACAGCAAAATGAAATTACTTTAAAACTTATTGCATTGTAAATTGTTCAAACATTATCTTAAAACAACATGTTTGGAGACATAATTAGCAAAAGCCTAAAATGATTAATGACTTTGGATTCCCAGATATGTTTGCTAATAATGCTAATTGTGGAAGCAGTTTGAGTGAACTCCCATCAAAGAATGATGGGGCAGGGGAGAACTCAGTGACGACTAACACGAGAATTACCTAGTTTCACGAACAAGTTCTTCCTGAGGAGGTAGAAATACTCAGAAAGCAATGAATGGCTGAACAGCACGGCCTGTCACATTTGAGAGTTGGATACATAAGATCAGCGTTCTAGAAGAGCTTCCAAGAGGCAAAGTAGAAAAGGGAAAGGCACACATTTTGTACTAACCACCTGGATTTAGTCTCAGCATTGCCACTAACTGGCCTTGAGACCTAAGGCCATTTCACTGAGACTATCTGAAAAGGATGCACTTTGCATAGATGCCCTTAGGGTCTCTTCTAGTCCTTTTTGCTACCAGCAAATCTACACCTAACTTCACACTGAATTGGGCATTTATTCACTTAATAATCATTTGCTATGGTTTGAATGATGGTGACCCCTCCAAAATTCACGTTGAAACTTAATCCTCACTGTAGTGGCGTTAATCACCTCCTTTTGGGAGGTGATTAAGTCATGAGGGCTCTGCCCTAATGAATGGAGTAGGGCCCTTATCAAAAGGGCTTGCAGGAATAGGTTTGCTCTCTTCCACTCTTCTGCCATGCGAGGACACGGTGCTCCTCCTTTTTGCCCTTCTGCCTTCCACCATGTAAGGATGCAGCAAGAAGGCCCTCACCAGACACCAAATGGTTCCCAGCTTCAAGAACTATGAGAAAAAATTTTCTGTTCTTCATAAATTACCAGTGTCAGGTATTTTGTATAGCAGCACAAATGGACTATGACAGCATTCATAGTATTTTGCTCCAAACATTGTGCTGGAAAGATGAGTAAAACAAGGTTCCTGTCTTTGTGAAAAGCTCACAATCTACTGGGAGAAACAGACTTGTAAAGAAACAATGTCAGCCCTATTCAGTAAATGCTATGGTAACAGTGGAATGTGCTAGGTCTTCAGGATTCCTTGAGAGGAAGGAAATTGGGGGCAAGGGAGGAACTTCAAGGAGGGCTCTCTAGAGTGAAGGAACTATTAACAGCATTGAGGGCTAAGCCGACGTTGGAAATGTTTTGTAAATGGTTCTGATCATTGGATTAGTACATAGTAGCTACCAAAGGGAAAATTATTCCCTGGATCCCACCATTGCAGCTAAAGCACTACCAGTCTGAGAAGCAATTCAAATACCTAAATTGTTTGAGTAATAAACTGTATTACACATAGTCATTATGACCTAGAAACGGTTCATCTGAAGCAGCAAAGGCTGACCTAGTAATTGATTTAATAGCTATCTTCAAAATATGAAGGATTTTTACAGTGGAACTTTTTGACTAGTTCTCAGTCTCCATTGAGAGTAAAACAAAACAAAGTGATCTAATAATCAGCAAGGTAAATTTAGATTAAACATAAAAACACTGACAGTAACTGCTATCAAATACCAGAATAAATTTAATTAGGATATTTGTGCAAGCTGTTTCCTTGGAGATCATTAAGAATAGACAAGATAGACAGGGTTGATCTAAATGCATGACTGCCTAGGGGGTGGGAAGTAGACCTAGTGACGTCCCTGATGTGGGGCGATGCTGTGGAAACGCAAGCTGTTTCCTTGGAGATCATTAAGAATAGACAAGATAGACAGGGTTGATCTAAATGCACGACTGCCTAGGGGGTGGGAAGTAGACCTAGTGACGTCCCTGATGTGGGGCGATGCTGTGGAAACGGGTCATTGTCCACCTGACTCTCACACGCCTTACCTCAATGTCCCGGTTAAGTTGCTTCACTATGGCAGTTATGTTTCTGATGTGCTCCTCCAAGAAAAGCCTGGCCAAGCGGTCACCTCCCCCCTTGTTTTGCATTTTCTGCAAACTGTTGACAATGTCGTCTTTAATGCGGAAAGCATGCTCCACGAGGGCAGCAGTCGTTTTCTCATGGCAGAGGATCCTGTCTTCCAGCTGCTCCACTAGGCTCACGGAGGAGTAGGGTGCCATGGTCAGGGACTGGCTGTGGCGGGGCATGGTTCTAACTCGCCTGCGGAGGGGAACCACATCATGAGGGTGGTTAATTGGGAAAAAAGACATTTTAAAGACAGATTCAAGACTTCCCAGAGGAGTAAATACAAATTTTCTATCCCTACAAGCTAAATGGAGTTTGGAGCAGGGTTTCTGCCCCAAAGAGTGTTCATGAGCCAGGCAAGATCTTTAGATGAGTGTGCCCACAGACTTGAGTGGGCTGGTAGCCAGCTCCATGACCTCCAAGAGCAAGAGGCTGGCAGGACAGGGCACACTGAGATGTCTCCCCCATCTAAGCTGGGTGATCAAGACCAAGCTTACTAACAAAGTCTCCTCCTCCTCCTTCCCCGCGAAGCGTGATTACAAACTCAAATGCCCACAAGGCATTTACGAAACATTTATGTCACCAGGCAGGTGACATAAACAAGTGAAACACACCACCTACGTCTCCCCCATCTAAGCTGGGTGATCAAGACCAAGCTTACTAACAAAGTCTCCTCCTCCTCCCTCCCCCCGAAGCGTGGTTACAAACTCAAATGCCCACAAGGCATTTACGAAACATTTATGTCACCAGGCAGGTGACATAAACAAGTGAAACACACCACCTATGATGCACTAGGGAGTGGTGGGGACTTTGGAGAGCTAGAAAAGGGCATTCCACAGCTAAAGGGAGCCACAGTTCTGCTCCACCCATGTGTGACCATGAGAATGCCGGTTGCTTTTTCCAGATTATCTGATATTTCAAGAAAAGCCAGGAAATCCAGATATGTACATGAAATCAACTGATTTTGAAATGTTGACAACTCATTTAAAAAGTACTTAAGATCATGCAGGCCAAGCAATGTACTTCCATGAGCCAATTTTGTGCTATGAACGCCTGATTTGCAACTTCTGATTTAAGAGGGTTAACAGGGACATTAGCCTCAAGCCTCCAGAGCTACATTTTACTGTCAACAGAAAGTTCAACCCTATTGTAGGGTTACTATGGAATCTCCTCTTCAGGGTCACTGAGTGGTCCACAGCATCCTACAAACTAGAAGCTACAATGGGGTACACAATAGTACTTCTCTTGCCCGTGAACAAAACAATTCTTGAATAATGTAACAGCCTGAGCCTTCATTTAAAATGACCATCACACCCACTAGAAGCCCTCATGGGATTGGTAGAAAGGAAAAGTATACCTTAGATGCATATTTTCCATATATTATACCTTTCTTCAGTGACAAGAGAAGGAAATACAGAGCTCCTTTGGGCCATTTTCTTTTTAATAATTCACATCTGTTGAAAAAATAAGCACTAAATTACTTTTAACAGCTTATATCTAGAACTTAAACAACCTCAAAGGCTTATTATTAGGTTACTAAGTGGATCATAAATTATGCTGATACACTGATCAGTTGTATTATTAAATGCCTTATATCTTATATAAGAAATAAATAGCAAATGTTTCCAAATAAGGAGAAAAGAAACACACAAAAGTAAAATGCTTCTGAAATTAACACTGCTAAGACTTGCTAGACAGATCAAAAAGGACTGTTAAATGGAGTTTCCTGAAATTTCCTCAGTTCAAATCTGCATCTCAAGCTTTACTCTTCTGTAGAAATTTGCAGAAAACTACCTTAGTAAATTTACTCTTCTATAACTTAGTAAATTTCATGACAATGAAGGGCATCAATTTCTAAATTAATCTTCAATAAAACAATGCATGATTGGTGTGATCTGATTTGGGGAACCTATCTGCTAAGAGAAAAAGAATGATATTCATTAAAACTTTATTATAAGATATGATCATTTATATTACATCTTGCATATAAGGAACATTTGATCATCACAACTCATTAGAAATCTGAACAAAACTTGAGGGCTTTTAAAAATATTTCATTAGTTAAGTTTCTCAATACTGCTGTTAATTGCCTTAAAACAATGAATGCCTAGTAACTGTGGTCTGATTTAATAATTATTTCTCATTTAGATGCTGGATTCAGAAAGCATTTCTGATTGAAACCATTGTTTTGGCACCATCTCTTCAGTGTTTTATTTTTAGAGTTTCAAAATGTGAACATTTCACTTTCTTAGACAAATAATTTCAAATTTAAACAAATTACATGTAAGAAAAAAAGTAATTCATGTCAAACAAGCTATGATGCCCAAGGAGTTTTAAGTGTCAATGATAAGAATTTCTCCCATTTAGACTAAATTAAATTAGGCCAGTGTAAAAAAATGTTATTTAGAATCACAGACCCTTACAATTTTAAAGTTGTAACACACCTCAGTTAAGATGCTAATCCACAGAATAGCCCAACTTGAGAAACGTTTTTTTGCCATCTATTAGGTAGCCAAGAGACCTAAACAGGTAAGACAAAAATTCTCTTCCCTAGGAGAAGACATCTAAGCCAATCATTAAACAGTGGGATAGAAGGCTAACCCTATGAACAAAAATACATGGGGAGAAAAAAAGGAGAGCAAGTTAGAGAATGGAGAGATGGTTCCACAACTTCTCTCTTCCACACCCCAAACCCACCTCTACTTCCTTTCCTCTCAACACACTGTAGTCTCACCCTTTCTTCCAGCCTCGTATTTGGTCACACCTCACCATCATCACCTGCTCCAGTCAATTCTAACACTCTTACTGCCAACCCATCCACCACCATCCTTGAATATGTCACTCCCTCTGCGGCCATCAGACCCTGGCTCATGTGCTCTCTTGGAAATGCCCTTCCCATCCCTGCCTGCCAAGAAAACTCTTATTCGCCCTATAATACCCACCACTCCCCTCAGTTCTATAAAATGGTTCCCTCTTTTGTATTTCTTCAGCTCTTTACATTTTTTTATAAGACTTAATACACCCTATTATTTTTAGCGGCTTAATGGTTTGTCTCCCCTACTAAACTGTATGCTCCTTAAGAGCACTTTTCAAATCTTAACAGACATAGAACTGACCTAGAAGCCACCATACGTGTTTGTCAATGTGTGAATGAATGACGAGCATTACAGGATCAGAAACTGCAGCAATAAAGGCAGTAGGCACTATGGTTTAGTTAAAAAGTATAGTTCTTTACCAAGACTGAATCCCAAATATTGAGCACTTAAGTATCTGTGAGTGACTGGAGACTTTTGGCATCCGCTTCTCTGAAGGTCATTTCATCCATCTGGATGAGCTACAGAAGGCCACCAACTTCCTGAAGAAGGAGTCTATACCTCACTAATTATCAGAGATGGTTTTCCAGTAGCAAACCTTCCTATGTGCTATGCACTCTCTACAACAGGAAATTTCATATGGCATGAGTTCACAATACACATTATTCAGAATTGGTGCCCTCTCATGAATGTGGTAAGAATCTGCATATCTGTTAGGTCACTAGGTTGGTTAACATCATGATTCTTTGCCAGAACATTGGATCTGTATTGCAGATGAATAAAGATAAATTATAAATAAGTCGCTAGATTAAATAATTTCTCAAGCATCATTTCCAAATCTTCCCATTGTCAATTTTGGCTTACCTGCCTGAGGTTATCATCTCCTGTACATTTATAAATCTGATCTCTGATACTGCAAGTGGGTCGACAACCTTCCCACGCAGGTCTGGGTTGCATGCTGTTTTGACTGTGCCATGATTCACTGTTAAAATAAACGATCTCCTCTTTATGAGTTTAAAAAATTGGTAGAAATTATGGGAAGGGACAGGTAAGTAAATCAAGGAGAGAAAAATTGAAAGAATAAGAAAAAATAAAATCATAATGCCCAAAATATGCAATATACCAATAGAATTTGGGGGTTCACACAAGAGTAAAGGGAAATGCTATTATCTAAATCAAAATAATTATTTGTGATGAGGATTCTGTGAAGAAGGGAGAAGTAAAAAGAAGATGAATATATACACACTGGAATGTCTTAATAGTGTAGTGACAAAAGGAGACATTGATGCCAACCAATTATTATACTTTTTAAGTAATGTGACACTGGGTAGAAATACCTACAGAATCACTTTAACGTAAAATGATACATGAATTTAATAAATTAAAATGACAGCTTTTACTGAAAAACTGAGTCCCAATCAAGTAAAAACTAATAGTTTTTCAGTTCACTATTAAAATCTAGTGCTGATATGTTATGCCAAGTGTCAGAATAAAAAAAAAGTAGGCAACGCATTTATGAATAAAGTGGTTGTAATTTAGTGGTGGGGGGGGGAAGCCTATTTCCTTATAGTTAAAAATAGCGTGAAGGGATAGAGGGTGGAGAACAGCTGCAGGTGTGTCTGGAAAGGCAGGTGGGAGTGCTCTCCTCATGCCAGGTGCAGGCAGGGGGTGATGGGAGTTGTGAGATCAAGGGCGGTGCAGGCCAGAGGATCCAGGGGGCAGAAGTCCGAGGGTTAGGAGTCACAGGGGTAGGTGCAGACCCACCAGCCCAGGTACTAGACAGGAATTCCACCAGCCCAGGGATGGGCTCCAGCCTGCGCAGGAGGAGGGGCTGAAGACTCACCTGGAGCATCTTCATTCCTCTCTCTACTTCTCTGACCTCCCCCATCCTCTTCCAGCTCTTTTCCCTCACTCTCTCCCTGCCTCCTCTCTTTTCCTCTTTCTTCCTTTCCTACCTGTGATTACTCTCTGTTCCTTTGCCCTTTCTCTTCTCTTAACATCCCATTGTCGCTGTCCATTTTCCTTCCTTTCACTGTCTCTCTTTTCCCTCCTCTCTCACTCTCCCTTTTTACTACAGTCCAACCCATTTTTCTATCATGAAAAACATGGGTGGTGGGGTCAGAGAGGTCCCTACTTGAACACTGGCTTCCCCACTAACTATATGATCTTAGTGGGCTGGCTGTAGTTTGTCAGGCTGGGGATCACGTAAATAATAGCTGCTCACCCTGGGTCAGGCACTTGGGAAACACATTTACGTGCATTACTTTAATTCATCCTCATAATCACTTGTGAAGGGACTACTCTCTTTATCTAAATTTAATCAGAGGACACAGACTTAGAAATGTTCAGCAACTGGCCCAACATCACATGGCCATGAAGGAGCAGAGCAGGGATTTGAACCCCGGGCCTCCGCCTCTTCAGCACAAGGCATTACCCACAGAGAGGCCACAGGATACCCAGAGCATTGTCTGGCTTTGGGCACTGGATAAGCACCAATAAAGGCTGGTTCCTTTCCCTTCTTTGGCTAATGTCCCTTCATGCACATCTGATGGAAAACCTATCTATATTTTTAAATAAAACTTTATATAAAATGTCCTGGCAAATAGTACTCATTTGTTTATTTAAAGAGATATTATATTATCTACGGTCTGGGGTGAACGGAAAAATTATTAGGTACTTGCTATAAACCTTTCGTATGGCCAAAACTGTTCCTCCTGGCATCAGTGTGTGCTGAGGTTTCGGCTGGACTGAAGCAAGTCTACGGTTATTTGGTTTTTTTTTGAAACCACAGCACATACACGAAAAGAACTATTTGCAACACACATACACGGGTACTTTAAAAAGTTCATGGAAAAATTCATATTATCTTTTAATTCTATTTTTCCACAAAATTTTTGAATTACCCTCATATTTTGTTTGAAGAAACTTGGAACGCTTTAAGACAACACCTTTTCTTAAACTGAAAAAATGCTGTTTGTGATTAATAAAGTAATATAATATTAAAATTCAGGTTCTACATAATGGCATAAAGAACAAAGACAAAACTGTCACTCAGAAATTGCTGGTGTTACATCAATTTACATTTTCCAGGATCTCTCTCTAGGATATATATACTTTTCCTTTTTTAAAAAAAAAATGAAATCAGGGCTGGCCAGTTGCCAGGTCAAGGATTCGGATCCCCACATAAGCCAGTTGCCCGAAAAAAAAAATGAAATCATACTCCATACATTATCTGTACCCTGCTTTTCCTAATTGACACTATCTTATGAATGTCTTTCCATGTCAATAAATAAAGATATACATCACCATTTTTAATTCCTGCATAATATTCCACTGAATGCACACAGCACAATTGTTAGCCAGCCTCTTACTGATGGACATTTACATTGAAATCCTGTTTATAATCATGGTTTAGTTCAGCTTTTAGTATCTTATTTTCCTTTCCTTTGTTCAACAAAACAATACAGGCAGTGTAGAAAGCCAATGGGGCAGATTGAGAGCCACATTCAAAATCCAAGTTAAGGTGAGACTCTGACAATGAAACAAAATTGAATTATATTCTGACTAGAGAATGAATGTACAACCAGAAAGGCCAATGGTATTCACAAAATGTCTAGTAAAAGCAGAGTCTG